TTATTGTACAGTTGCACAACCTATGGACGACCTTGGTATCCCTGCAATGGTCAGTATCAAAATGGCGTCTATGAAGGAGAAAACCCGGTGTGTCTTTTAGTTTCATGAAACGAAATCGTCACTTACAGTTCATTGAACTTCAGGCGTGAGTATGGACGATATGCGCCAGATGACAAAACCATTTGCAGGCTGGCATGCAAAGTTTGAAGAGATTGGCAATGCTGGTGACCGTAAGAGAACTGGTTGGCACTCGCTGGTATTAGTGAGGAGACGGCTGACGCTGTCTGTGAGGTTTTCAACACAGTCCGCGGAAATCAACTCGTCCTGCCTCAATTGAATTTCGCGCAGCTCAGAGCACAGTGGCGAAAATATTACCAAAACTGCTGCGCCTTTGCGCATACAAAGTGCAACTTGTTCAAGCCATGGAGCCAGACGATCATCCCCGACGTGCTGCTTCTGCTACGGAGATGTTTCAATAAATTGATGAAGACAATGATTGCATATGCGTGTTTGTTTTTCCGATGAGGCTACCGTTCACACTTCGGGGAATGTAAGCAGACACAACGTCCGCATCTGGGGGTTAGAGAACCCACGCGTTGTTTAAGAGAAAAAGATGGACAGCCCTAAATTGAATGTTTGGTAACATATAAGTCTTACCGCCCTTTTCTTGCTCCTCCTTCCTCCTCATTCTTCTTCACACGCTGGGTCGCCTCTAGTAGGTTCTTCTTTCTTGTTGCTACATTTATCTCAGGGTTATTTTAAAGGAGGGGGTTTTGTTGATTTGGTAGAGCTGAGTACCTCTTATCTCAGAGCCTTGAACGGGCCAAAACTCAGAAAGGGAATAAATTAAACACAAATCACAAGCACATCTCAAGTTTGGATGAATTATATTGAACACTTGTTTAACCACTTTTGATACAGTTTCAATGTCAGTAACCTTTATGTCTATCTGCTTCGGAGCCCGGTGTGTGACTTTCTGCGGCTAATTCTACGAGTGCAGCTTTCCGAATTTTTACGTCTGATTCTAACGACTCCCGGTTTCCGAATTTACGTCTGTTTCTAACGACCCCTGGTTTCCGAATTTACGTCTGTTTCTAACGACCCCTGGTTTCCGACTGACGCTAAAACATGACGCTTCCTCAAACCTTCAATTCCTGCTTTCACCAGCGTCACTGCCCTGTCACACCCTTAAATTTTAGTGACTGGCTAATTTTGAAAAATAGGAGTATCTTAATTAGATATTCCTCCATTCCGCTTAAAGCTTACAAGCGTTTAAGGATTTTTGACACCAACGTATTTCTGTCAGAAAGTGACAAATGCTTAAGCGTTGCGTGGGCCCTAAAAACTTCACTCTTTTTAAGTTATGGCATGCACAAACTGCCAAGTATTGAATTTACAAAAGATTTCTTTACCCTATTCTTTAACGCAGCTTTCCGCTAATAAACCTTTGGCGGGTGTCTTCCTGTTTCTTGTTGTAAGCTTGGGAAAACGCTTACTCTTACATACAAGAATTGACATATGTCTCACTACCCTTGTTCACTGCATTTCATTTGAGAACAATTAAGCTTTCAAATTAATAAAGTTGATTACATTAAATTAGTTGCGTAGCAGTGGAACGGTTACATAAGGGCATAATTGAAATAAGAAAAAAGAATCTTAACCAGTCACACTGAACGGAAGTGTTTAATTTTCTCATAGTTCAGTCCAGTTCCATCCTTGAAATTTCTCTTTTCATGTAACCCCTATTGTTATCCTCCCATCTATATCCCTGTCTGCCAAGATATTTTGCCCTCAGATTTTGAAGTTCATGGTTATCAATTTTTTTTAATGATGCACATTCTTGCCGTGGCCTAAAGCTCTGGATAATTTCTACACTTTATATGCGATTGTGATACCTCATTATGCCTCACGCCCAAACCAAAAGCTGGAAGACCGTATCTTGTTAGCCGTCCGCTAGTGCTTTTTCAATATATTATAGCATGTGTAACTGTTGCTATGCAACGATCGAGAGAGGAAACATATGTTGCTTGGTAACGGCCGGTAAATACATTAGCAATATGCGGGTTGTGGCTAGGCAACTGCTCAGTAAACCGGTTTCCGCTGCAATTGACATGCATGCAAGAGTCGAGCTATTGTTGGACTATAACAATGGAAACGGTAAATTCTGTGTGGCTCGTGCCGAAATGTTATAAGCAGAGTTAGTGTGTTCTGGAGTTGATAGTTGGCTCTTTATTGGAGCTTTACGCTCAAAGTTACAATCACTCTCAAATAACGGCCTTTCAGACGAAGGGACCTGACTAGTCCGTCGTCTCTCTGCGTTTCCTCTTCAGCGACTATTCTCTTACGCCGCTATTCTCGGTGGTGTCCCCACTCTTGGTTCTTCCCTTATCTCTCGTCGGATGTGAACTCTCGCGGATCTGAACAGCTGTCGGATCTTATCTTCTGTACTCTTAAGTATTTCTTCGCGTACCGCTGAGAGAACACCTTGTCAAAGGGTTATCTTTCGCATGTTAGCTAAACTATTCGTTAGCCTGTCTATTTGTTGCCTAGGAATTGCTAGCTATTGCCCAGCAATAGACGCTTGTTGTCAGCGCAATGCATTACCTAGGAAGTGACACTTCTCTATGCAGTGGGTTCACCTGTCATACTAATTTTATCTATTTTGTGTGGGTGTGAGTCTTGGCCTCTTATCCTAAGATACGAAATAATATTGAGGGTTTAGTACGTTTCATTACTGCCTTTACAGTTTTTGCATTCAGTTCAAAACACCACCTAACACAAGAGGTCTCTTAATTAACAAATAATCATATGCCTATTTTTTATTGCCAGTGGGGTTGGACTAAGTCCCTTGTACTGCGGCCATTTCTGGCCTATTGTATCAGCCCTAGATGATAGGTGAGGGTGATTGTGGAGCAATTGGTGGAATGAAGATTGGCAGGGGAAGACGAAGTACTCGGAGAAAACTTGCCTCAGCGCCACTTTGTCCACCACAAATCCTACTTGACCAGACCCGGGATCGAACCCGGGCCGCCGCCAGCGACTAACCGTTTGAGCTGTGGCGCCGCCCAAAAATCAATATAAGGTTAATTTGCATTAGATTAGTAATCGAGAAATAACGTTTCCTTACATAATTATTTAGACTTCTGTAAAAACTGCCCAAGGGCCGAAGAGTGTTGGTCATGTGATTATTTAAAGTCTGGTTGCATTACATGGTACTGCTGAATTGAGAACTTGAGGCTGTCTGAGAAGAGGGTGCTGAGGATAATATTGGGAAGTAATAAAGACGAAGAAGACGAGGGTGAAGAGCGCCCGTCAGGATGGTGAAATCCAGAAGACTGAGATAATGTCAGCTGCAACACACACAGGAGCGCGAAGAGAAACTCTTGCCGTATAAAGCAGTTGTCGGAGGAAATTACCTGGCAGAAGCTTACAGTAGTTTGGGTGTTAAGTAAATGAGCTGTTAGAGTGGGGTCTGGATTAAACAGGCTCAGAATATGATTCAATGGCCGGTTTTTGTGAACATGGCTAACAGCCTTCGAGTTCCTTGAAAGCGTGAGATTTCCTTATCAGTCTAAGCAAGTAAAGGCCGATTAAGTATAATATTTTGACCTGAGAGAGAGAGAGAGAAAGTAAGAGTGCGCTGTAGAATATTTTATAGTAAGCGGCTTCTTGCCGATCACGGTGGCTGAGCGGTCTAAGACATGAGCTCTCTTCGCTCGCTCGAACGCTGAAATCATGGGTTGGAATCTCACTCAAGGCATGGATGTCTGTGTCTGTGTTTTTCTGTGTGTAGGTAGCGGCCTTACGCCGAGTTATTTACTCTTCCAAGGAATTCTACTACCTGTGTAAAATAGATTACGAAACTGAGGAAGAGGCCAAGGCTCAACAAAGCGCTGTAGAGCCACTGATGAACGAATGAATGAAGAGGCTTGGTAATTTGTTCTCCTCTGTAAATATTACCTATTAGGGTGATCAAATAAAGAATATTGAAATGGATGGAGCATATGGCATGCAGGGGGACGACGACAAATTCGCAGAAAATAAGTAGTCCGCAAACCGAAATTGAGGAGTCCACGTGGGACACCTGTGTATAAACGGAAGAAGAGTATTAGGAATAATTTTAAAGAAATGAAATGGGGGGGGGTCCTGGATTGAACTCACTCGTGACGCGTCTTGTGAGGGGCTCTTGTGAATGTAGGAATAGATATACAAGTTCCATAAATGAAACTAATTCTTTCGTTGAGTAATTACAAGTTCCTCGACTAGAACTCTGTTCCACGTAGTTATTATTATTATTATTATTATTATTTAACTGCAAATGGGGTTTCACCCGGTGGCAGTGGCACTGCAATAAGACAACACACAAATAACACACATAAAAACTTTCAAACAGAACACAGCATACAAATATTAGTAGAAAAGTGAAACATTCCGTATTCCGTATTGAGGGGGTGGGTTGCCCCATGCACTTAGACCGGTTATTGGTCCATTGTGCGTCCCCTTTTAATTTCTACTGTCTCCATACCTACCGGTACTGGTGCTTACTATCAGCCCCTTTCTGCCAGCGAGGTTCCAACCTCCTCTGGCAGTGGTACCTAATACTTCCCCCCATCTACCGGAAGAATTGGAAACTACTTGGGCGGGAAATGTTGCCTAATTTTGCTCAGAGGTCTCCTAGAGACATGAGGTTCTTTTACGAAAGTGAAACATACTATATAATAAACGAACAGTAACGAATGCATAATATCGTGTTCCCATTACTCATATTCATAATTAAAAAAGTACTTAAAGTGGCTTTACAGCTAATATCATGTGTGACACAATAGTATCTCATAGTAAGGACTTTGAGGAACAATGTTTATTAGACTTATGACACTCTAGGAATTCATTTTCTAAAGTACACCAAGACAAATTGTCCTCATTTCGTGTAATAGTGTGTGCAATTGTCATTGTAAGCCAGTTGGATTCGTAGAGACATTTTATGGAATGTTTCATTCCAGGACTACTTCAATTGCTGCGCACCAGTCCTGTCGGCCTGAACAACTTAGGCAAGAAATCCGTGTGGAAACGGACCGTAAGTATGTGTGTCGGCTCTAGTAAAAGCTTTTCCCGTGCCTTGTATTTAGCTGATATATATGTATGTTCCAGCTTAACTTCCAAATATATGACTTTGACCGGGATCAGTAGAGGAAAAAGCATTTCCAACAGTTTTACTGTTCGCGTTGGAGGCTTATTAGTACCATACGTTTCACGTGACCAGAGCTCAACTGAGACACGTCAACGCATTTATCAGTATGACAAAGTACAAAAGGTCTTAGTAATTTTGGCGAGTGTGATTTTCAGCACGTTTGTGCGCGAAACCTCCTTAAACTTCTCACAGGAGCAGTAGAAAAATATTTTGCTTGTCCTACAACTTTTGTTAGTAATACCATGGATACGTGAGATAATTTTGTGAACGTTCTTTTTTAGTTTGTAAGGAGCAGCTCGTTAAGAAATCATCATATCCTTCCATGTTGGGGGTTCCGTCTTCCTCTGTCTGTGAATAACGAGTCGGAAAAGTAGTTCGCTTCACGGCCATGTTTAATTTTGAGTTCTAAACTCAGATAATGGACCGTCTCTGTGGTCTAGTGGTCAGAGTTCCTGGCTACAGATCCAGAGTTCCGGGTTCGATTCCCGGAGCTACAAGATTTTCTGATAAGTAGTGGGTCTGGAAGGGGGTCCACTCAGCCTCGTGAGGATATATGAGGAGCTATTTCAAGGAAGTAGCGGCTCCAGTCTAGATTACCGAAATTAACGACCATGGTGATTCGTTATGCTGACCACGCGACACCCGCTATCCGCTAAAGTTGGCACTAACTTCGCTGACAAGCGACGGTCGCCCGGTCGGTATAGTACGCTTTCGGACTAAAACCACGGATTTTTTTATACCCAGATAATGATTCTAGTAGCGGTGACAGAGATGGGAGAAAAGGTGGAGATTCACATGTGCCTATACTGGGAGTTATATGGAGGGACAAGGAAAGTTTCAATCATCAAAATCTCTGCTGTCCGTGAAAAGAGATTATCGTAGCCCGTTGCTTAGCAACTAGGTTGATTCCAGAGCCGGTCTGGACGTGGAGTCCCTGTCGGGAATAGAATTGTGTTCGTACAGCCCGCAACCAGACAATTTACTGACTGGAATAGCGCAACTTAAAGACACAGACTGAGAGGCACCAGTGGGAGGTGTCGGACATTCTCATTAAATTTATTCATTTTATTGAGCGTAAAACTGCGGATCACAATTTCCTCGACTTAGCAGTTATTAATATTACTGAATAGCATAATATTTTAACTGTGTCATAAAATTATGAGATGTAAATTTCTCCTTCTGTAATTGCTCTTCCATAAGTTACCACCATTTTTATTATTATCTGCTGTTCCAGCGATGTGCCGTGAAAAGAGACTACTTTCTAAGCTGAAATTCATAGGCCCATAAGATGATTCTGCTCAATTCTACATGATAACGTTTCACCGAGATAGGTCCAACATTTTAGGAGAATATACGAAAAGACCCCTAAATGTCCATATGTGAACTAGGCTTTAATTTAGATCGATTAAGCTGAAATTAATAGGACCGTAGGACTGATAAGTGCAATTCTCCAGGATAACATTTCATCGAGATGGGTCAAATATTGTAAGAGAAACAATTAAGAAACCTTAATTGCATTCATGTGAACTAGGCCTTACTTTAGTTCGATTAAGCTGAAATTCAGGAAACCATAAGGGCATTCACTGTAATTCTCGAGACTTAAGTTTCAGCGAGATATATGATATTTCTAGAGAAACTGAAATAAACCTTAATTGTTCTTATGTGAACTAGGCTATAATTTAGTTCAAATAAACAGAAGAACGGCATAAAGTTTAATGTAGAAATATTTCCCTTTTTATAGCGCACCAGAATTATGTCTGGCGGGACTGTGGGTTATTTAACGACGCTTCCAGTAGCTATATTTCAGAGCGATTGGCAGGATGATAAATGCATGATGAAATAGAAGAAATTTAGAAGAAAGCTTTGGTTGGCATAAATCGAAGCATTTTCTTGGCATTTGCCTTAGAAAATTGTGGGGAACCACGGAAGGCCTCGGTCAGGATAGCCGGTGCTCGAACCGAGAGGGGAACCAAACACATACCGATTACCTCTTGGCAAATTTGTTCTTTTCTATCTGGTGGGAGAAATCTGCTTCTTTTGCAGAGGTCCCCAGGACTGGACGGAATTTGCAAATATGTCCCCTTGCGTCACTTTAATTTCATTATTACATTCAAGCAATAACTGGAACATAAGAGTTGGGTATACCATTTTTCTGTAATCAGGTAAAAGGTAAAGGTAAAAATAAAGTTATCCGTGTAACAGGCCGTGGAGGCCCATGGGGTTGTGAGACGTTGATGCTCCCACATTTTCTAGACAATCGGTTCACAGATGGCGGTGAGGTTGTTAGCGTTACGCGCCGGCCGCCCTTTACCCCCCAAGAAGATTCCTGATACTCATTTCTGTTAGAGGCTGAGTCGACACCAAGGCCATAATAAGGCTGTAAAGATTAGATAAATTTGAAAAAAAAACATCTCATCGGGACTCAAACCCGCGACCTTTTGGCTTGTAGCATAGTGCCTTAACCAACTACGCTACCGCGTCCCTCATCTGTAATCAGGTATGTTTGCTAATATTCTGGGGAATTTTCTTTATGTGAGTGCGGACTCAGCCATTCCTCCTGTGAAGCCGGATCGATATACTCGCATATCCCACAAGATTCGTTTCACGACTGTGCCGTGAATACAAGTCCCTATACAGTCCTATTACAGATGTTGCACTCAAAGCGTGGGTTTTCCTCCTATGTTTCAGCTGGTAAAATCGTCATGGAGAGAACTACTGAGAACTGTATCATTCTGGATGTAAAACGGCCTAAGGCTTACACGGATAACCCTATTATGTCTCCAGTATTTAGAGGACACTTGTTAGTATTATTAGTGGAATTGTTTGGGCAGAAAGAGAGGGATCTACTACCACTGTCCATAAGTTCGTGGAATGGCCGCAAAGCGTCGTTGCAGTGCACTACAGCGGATAGGTTGATGTACGATATGATGCCCTGTCGGTTCATCTCTCGTCACAGCAAGAGGCAGCTGTGTGCAAACAGTGTAAGTAGAACTACGGCCTCTATTGTGAACTCCAGTTACATGCAAGTGGCAGAAATCTAAAATGTGGCAGTTTGAACAACGGGCAAACATCAAGTTCTGCCAAAAACTAGGCAAATCCCCTAGCCAAACGTTTGGCGTAGGAAGAATTGGCTGTTGCTATACGACAACGCCCCTGCACATCGCTCTGTTCTTGTCCAAGAGGAACTAGCAAGGCAACAGGTTACAGTTTTGCCACACCCTCCGTACTCACCTGATCTCGCACCCTGCGATTTCTTTCTCTTTCACCGCTTGAAAGCAAAGATACGTGGTCGTAGATTTCAGTCGTCCGAGGAGGTGGTCATTGCCACAAGAGGCGACGTACTGGAATTTCCTGCCAATATGTTTCAGCAATGTTTTCGGCAGCTATATCAAAGTTGTCAGACTTGCATAGCGGCCAACGGCAACTATTTTGAGGGCCGATATGGATCTGTGTAAGTGTATGTGAATACCTTGTAATACGATGCGATAAAACCACATTCCACGAACTTAATGACTCCATCACGTATGCTTCAATCGGTATTGCAGTCATGACCTTGCCGAAAACCAATTTCCGTTGTTGATAGCGTGCATATTCATTGAAATCTCGATTTAATGTGTGGATCAGTGGTGCATGCAGTAGCGTAGTTGTTTGAGGCACAATGCTTCAAGCCGGAAGGTCGTTGGATCCAATCCCGATGCTGTGGATTCTTTCAATTTACCTAACCATTCCAGCTGCACTATGGCCCTGGGGTCGACTCAGCCTCTAACAGAAATGAGTACCAGTAATCTTCCTGGGGGTAAAGGGCTGCCGGCAGGCACGTAAGACTGACAACCTTACCGCCATCTGTGAGCATATTGTCTAGAAAATGTGGGAAGCTCGACGTCTCACAATCATATGGGCCTCCACGGCCCCTTACAGGGATATCTTTACTTTACTTTTAAGTATGGATCAGTGGCTCTGCCGCCTAAGGTACGAAATTCCTTCAATAATACGAATACTGTGATAATGAGTTCGAATCCCTCTCGAGACCGGGATATATGTCTGTGATTCTTCTGTATATGTGTGTGTGTGTGTGTGGGCGCGCGCTGCCCTGTAGCTAGCGGCCTTGCGACGGGCTGATATTCTGTCCCCAAAATCCTACCAACTCTCCGAAAGATTTATAATTTCAGATTAATTCTGATTAGAAACAGGTCAAAGACCTAATCCGTCAAAGAAGAAGAAGAAGAAGAAGAAAAGTTGTAGCAGCAGCAGCAGTAGTAGTAGTAGTAGTATTAGTAGTAGTAGTAGTAGATATGTGTAGAGAAATGTAGGTAGAAGTGAGAACTGTTAGTTTGAAAGTTCAACACAATTGTGACACTTGAGGACACTCGGACTGCTACACATGGATTCACATTAATACAAGGGAAATGTACGACAAGAAAATGAAGTGTATGTAGAAACGTTGAAACCATGGCTATTATTAATATTGATTTGTATCTGTAGGGCAACTCACTCAAGTGTCGACTGAAGTTGTGAATAAAAGTAGTGAGGTATTTGTTGAAGTAGAGAATGCTCACTGCTTTACTCTGTTGCCGGTTGAATAAAAAGATAAGTACTGTGTGTTTTTAATAAAAGATTTTAAATCCCCCTTTTGAAATTCCAACGGCATTTTTGTTAGTTGTCTGACGGTTCTTTAAAATATGGAGTTGTTATATCACGTCTTCTTAACGGTAGTCTGAAGTGACTCTTCGCGCAGAGAGATTGCTAAACCTCATTTATTTACTTCTGGCATTTTAACATTTAAAGTATAAATAAATATACAGGTTAATAAGATTAAATACGTAATATAGTTTTAGAATTTCTTCCGAACTTGGAAAGGAAATGACTGTTCACCAATTTATTGGTAG